ACTCTTCATATTTAAATCACAAATCTCTTCAAATACATTAATGTTTTTAATGAGCAAAACTTTACAACGTTTATAAAAGAAAGGAAAACAAAAAGTTATTAGTGATTACTAATTAATAATCATAAGTTAAAAACTTTTGACTTGTAACTAATAAATATACATAAATTAGAAAACTCTTGAGTTGTAGTATGAGTTTCAAATGAATACGGTACTTGGAAATGCATTATTATTATTATTATTATTATTATTATTATTATTATTATTATTATTATTATTATTATTATTATTCGTCTAATAATTGGTTTTGATGCATCATTTTAATCCCTTCAATTATTAATCATAAAGATATTTAATTATAAATTTATAACATACATAGGTGCATATACATGTTAAACAAATCACATATAATATATATATATTTTCGTAAATGTTATATATAATTCTTGTCATAGTAATATAGATAAATTACTTTATTATAAAGAACATATCATTATGAGTCTATCATAATTACACATGAAATGTTCAAAATTATGTTATCTTTTAAATATTGTATTTTAAATATGTTGTGTAGGATAACCCAACAAAAAAATAATATAAAATAAACATAATCAAAATAGAAAAACTACAATCAAATAAAGAAGAGCATTGAGTGGTTGAATATATAAATAAAGATGTTACATCAAGATACATTAAAATCAAAAGAAAAAATAACATTCGTCAACTGTGCTCAAACAAAAAAACTTATATCCATTTTGTGAATCTTCTTTCTTCATTTAACACCATTCAACCATAGAAACTTGATAATAATTCTTCACTAACCTGCAATCAAAATATTTTTCTTGAAAAAGAAGAATCATAAAGATATTCCAAGCAAAACATTGATGTTTGGAGAGTCGCATTCAAGATTGAGCAATACACACAAATCACATATAAAGATTAAATGAGAAACTGATTATAAAGAAATAATAGAAAAACTTCAGTTGTTTTGGTTGAAAGAAAAAAAAAATCATATTACAACTACAATCGATGCGACATAACTCATTACTTCAAATCATCATATTTGGATCGTAAATGCTTCAACTATATGAAAACTTTTGAATCACAAGATCTTCAAATCCTTCTTACATGTAAGATTTTATATAACACAAAAGACACAAAAGATTGACATTTTTATAGTAAACTTTTCACTAAATGTTAATTAAACATAATATAAGCTATAAAACTTTTGAGTGTTAAATCATAATTAAGAAAACTTTTGAGTTGCATTAGTTAAAAAAGGGGGTTTCAAATGAATGTGGTTTGAGAAAGTTAAAAAATGGGGTTTCAAGTGCATGAGATTCAAGAAAAAATGCTAGCTTTATAAGTATGTATGATAATGATAAAGATTGGTGATTTTATATATACTTTTTTATGTTGTGTAAATTGTATATCAAACGTACGTTGACTTCTATATATAACAAATGCAAAGTAGTATGAAAAAAAAATACTACAACTTTTGAGGATTTTATAGACCGATTTAAGTTGTGTAAATTATATGTAAAACATGAGTTGATTTGTATATAAAACAAATAACAAATAGTATTGGAAAATACTACAAGTTTTAATAACATAAAAACACTACAACATATACTATAATGTTTACATCAAATGAAATTTATTAAACACTTATAAATCGTTCAAAATGAATATTTAAAAATCAACATACCTTGATATATAAAAAGATTGTTATTAAAAATGATGTTAAAATAACCATTGATGGGTTATAACTCGTTTTTTTCAACTCTTTCATATTTGAATCACAAAAAATTTCAAACATATGATTTTATTTATGAAAACTTACTTATATGCTACTAATATATCTACAATGTGTATAAATAAGTAGAAAATAAAAATGAACTACATATTAATAACCATAAGTTGGAAAAAATTCTTGAATGTAGTTGAAAATAAAAAGGCATGACTAATTACATTAAATTTGAAATTATAACTTCATTCAAATTAGAAAACTCTTAAGATGTAATAGGAGTTTCAAACTCATGAGTTGTGCACAATAATGTAATATGAATACTCACAATTATATATTAAAATAACAATATTATCGACATTTATCATTGAAATAATGATTTTTATACTAAGTCACAACTAATACTATAATTTTTAAGTATGTATAATAAGTTGTGTTTAAATTGAATTAAATAAAGTTTTTGATTTAATATTTTTTTAGTTATAAGTATTTTTAATTAATTTAGAAAATAATTTATTTGAACATTTTATACTTCATTCATTATTATTATATTATTCAAATAACGATCATTTTTAATATAATATAATCTGTTTTTTAGTTTTATGTTATTTTAAACTATTATTATTTTTACTTAATTAAAAACTACATGTTTGGAAATTTTCATTATTATATTTAAAATAAAACTGTTGATTTTACTATTGTATTTTTATTTTTATCCTTAAGTCTTTGTGGTATTTGAAGGGAATAAATTGTCCAAGTAAAATAGTGATTTGAATTGCAAAGTTATAGTAATTGTCAAGTATTAAGACAAATCTTTAAGAAAAATGCATGTTAAAAGTAGGTTATGGGAAAGAGAAAGTGTTACATTTGAGTTATATTTTTATCATTTATATTTTTCTTGTGAAAGTATTAATATTTTTTTGTTTTACTTTTTCTTTAAAGTGAAAAATTGATAGGGAAAAATGAAATTGACAAAACTAATAAGATATAATAGATTACTTATTTTTAATATTATAAAAACATTTTAAAAATGGGTACATCCATATTAGTTTTGCGAAAACATAAAAAAAATATATTTTTATAACACATAAATAATCCTTGATTTTTATCAATAAAATCATACCATATTTTACTTTTTCTTTACGATGAAGAAATGAATGGAAAAAAATAAAATTAATAAATGTAATACGATATAGTAGATTACTTATTTCTATTGTTATAAAAATATTTAAAAAATGCGTGCATCATTCATATTAGTTTTGCGAGCACATAAAGAATGTATATTTTATAAGACATAAATAATCATTGTTTTTTAGCAATAAAGTCATATCATACTTAAAATCATTCGTTTTAATTAGCCATTATCACTAATAATTTGGAATGATAATTGTAAACTCTTTTTATCAAAATCATGTAACAAAAATTCTATCGATGTTATTTATAACAAAATAAGCGATAGAAACTAACATAATATGTAATTAATAGCATAAAATACATATTGAATAATAATATTTTGGATTAAAAAAATAGATTGTCTTGACATAAAAGGAAAGACAACATAAAGACAGATACATGTTGACAACATTAAATGTTCCAACCGATAAATAGTTGCAATTTTTCTTTATATGATCCCAACTTGAATTTACTTGAATTTATATTTGGAAAGTTACGATTGTTCTCTTACATCCATAGAACCACTCGCATAAATCTTCAAACCGTAGCAAAATAATCTATCATTTTGTTATTAAAGCTACAATGAAATATGAAAGCTACAATGTTATTATATAGACTAAATATTTCATTTAACATATCAATTAAATAAAATTATTTGAAGAGTTTTGGGAGTTACAAATCATAACATTTCAATTAATCATAAATTAAATTGTATAATTTGAATAGTCTTACGAGTTTCAATATATATATATATATATATATATATATATATATATATATATATATATATATATATTCAGGTTCATTTGAAACCATACTAATTTTGTGAGACCGTGAGACCAAATCTAAAATTAATTTTAAAATGCAAAATAAATGGAAAAATCCAAAAATTCTTTTTTTTAAATATTATTTTCGGAACTTGAATTAACTAAAAAAAAATTTTAAAAATAAAAAATAAATAAAAAAAATCCCTTTTTTTTTTTGAAAAATACGTGAAATATTCTAAATAGAATATTAAACTGACATATTCTAAAAAATAATTTAAAATGCAAAATAAATGGAAAAATCCAAAAATTCATTTTTTAAATATTATTTTCAGAACTTGAATTAAATAAAAAAAATAAAAAAAAATCCTATTTTTTTTGAAAAATACGTGAAATATTCTAAATAGAATATTACACTGTACATATTCTAAAAATAATTTTAAAATGCAAAATAAATGAGAAAATCAAAAAATTCTTTTTTTAAATATCATTTTCGGAACTTGAATTAACTAAAAAAAAAAATAAAAAAAATACGTTTTACGGTCTCACAAAATTAAGCCGTCTCACATGAACTTAACCCTATATATATATATATATATATATATATATATATATATATATATATATATATATATATATATATATATATATATATATATATATATATATATATATATTATTTTCTGTAAATTTCATACCGATAAACAAACAAAATCTAGATTTGCTAGTAAACACTTCAAATTTTATATAAAATGAATCTAGAAACTAATACAAAGTTCAGTAACATTTATGTTGAATAACAGAACACTTATGAATTTCATCATAAACCAACTAATTATTTTCATATGAATATTAGTGGTGATCATATCTTTGTTGAGTTGATGCATGATTTACATTTACCATAAAGTTCAATAACATTTATCTTTAATAACAAACACTTGTAATTTCATCATAAACCAACTAATTGCTTTCATATGAATCTTATTGGTGATCTTGTTGTTGGGTTGATGCATGATTTACATTTACCATATGAGTCGTAGCGGAAACAGATTTTTGGATATGAGAATAAAATATATTATAGTTCAAAATATTGCACACATCAAGGTGTTTAATATTTAAATTAGTATATCCAAAAAGTTATTATAAACCCAAAAACTAAATAAAATTTTCCAAATCCAATAACTAACTAACGTAGCATTTAACAAAACACTACCAAAACTATCAAACATAAAAATATAACAATATAAATCCTCAAACATCAAAAAAAAAAAAAAAAAAAAAAAAAAAAAAAAAAAAACTATTTAACTTTTAAATATAGTCGCAATGTCAAAAAAGTGGCTTCTTACCATTTAACAAACCCATCAAATGATCCAAAACATGAGTTGCTCCATCACCAAGACCCGAGTGCATGTATTCATTAGTTACCCATAACCTTATTCCCCCAATCTCTTTACTCATTTCTATTGTCACATTAAAATTAACAAACATATCTTCATAATAAACCGCAGCAGCAACAGGCACCTATTTAAAAAAAAATAAACTATTAAAAATATGTTCATTATATTTTTTTATTGACATTATACAATTAAAAGTTAAAACACATCTTGTTATTATTCAATGTTGTTTTGTTATATAAAGGAGGCCAATCTTTTTTCTCAGCCAACAAATTCGTTGCCTCCTTAATTGGCCTCAATGCATGAATTTCATCAAACATCCATGGGAACACCATCTGCATGATTATTATTATTTTTAAATATAAATAGAAACATTTTCACTTTTTTAAATAAAAACTTAATCGGAATATTTACCTCTCGTGTGAGAAAAACAGGGCGGGTTTTCTTTAGCGGCTTTTACTGCATCAAGTTTACTTTCATTTTCAAGTCTTACTCTGTGAGCAGCCCATTGTGATGCAGCTCCCTTTTAAAACTTAATGTAAATTAAATTTTATTTATTTTTTGAGTTTATTTTATGATGAAACTTGAAATTGAAACGATTAGATTACCTGACAATATATGGATTCATGCAAAAGGGCGTATAGTGGATTTGTATCGAAAGATAGCCACCTCTCAAACTGCATATTTTAATTTTATAAAGTGATGTTAAGGTTTTCATAGGGGCAATTCTATCATTATACATAAATATATATGTTAAGAGGAAAAAAATTTCTTACACAATTTAAGAAGTAATAGCTTATTTGCTTCATTGACCCTGGAACTATTACCGGATCCCACTCTTTCAAACCTATAATTAAAACAAAAACAATAATATGACAGGGGCATTTTAGTCTTTTAGATATATGATTAATAGTCAAACATACAAATAGTGCAAACGCTCGAAGCCTGCGCTAGCACCTAAGCCAGTAAAGCCCCGCGGGGTTAATATACCACCAGATGGAAGAGGAACCTATAATAATAACACACACAAAACACACAGTGAAGGTGAAAAGCGATTAGTTATATTTTAGATAATTAAGATTCAAAGTTTTTATTTATTTATTTACGGAAATACCCTTACCCCGCCTCCTTCGGGCTCTGCCAAATGGATTACAACATCACGAATGATCTGAATATCCTGAGGGTATCTTTTGTAATATTTTTCATTTTGGAGGACAATAGGGTCAATGCAAGCTTTATACACAGTTTCAACTGTGCATCCATCTTTAATTGGTGGAATCCCACCAGTCAAAAAGACTTGTTTTAGCCCTTGAGGTGCAAAACTTAGATATGTCACTCCACAAAAACCACCAAAACTCTATTAACAAAACAAAAGAGGTGAGGTGTCATTTGCTAATATAACCTGTTAATAAAAAGGGTATTTTCATCTTTTTCATACGTAGCCCAAGAGCTTCCAAGGAGCAGCATCAGGAACAAGATGTTTTCTAATAAATTCAACATCATTTACAATATTATCTGCTCGAAAATACTTCAAGTAATGCTTAAGTCGACTGAAAAAAGACATACAACCTTGGCTCTTTTATGGAAAATGGATAAATTGCTAGATTTCAGATGTGAACCAACTTACAAAAAAAATGATACCCATAACATCTATGTCAGCTTTTTGTTTGAATATATTTAATTCAAAACAATTCTTGTGGAGATTTGAATTGTAGCATTGATGATGTTGTTAGAGGAGTTGAGAACCCTGTTCCACTCTACAATTTTATAAAATCAAAAGATGAAAAAAAGATAGATGCTGGCATGATATGTTATATGTGATAGTAGTACTAGGAGGGGAATAGTCCCCGGGGTTTGGTTGTTAGGACCGAAGGGTTGGTCGGATACCCCAGATATGTCTGACAGTATGTTTATGTTATGATATATGTGATAGTAGCAGTAGGGGTGAAATAGTCCTCGAGGGTCGGTTGTTAGGATTGAAGGGTAGGTCAGCATCCCAGAAGGGCTTGACACGGGTAGGTCGGCACCCCAGAATGGTCGTACCGAGTAGGTCGGGCACCTAAGAATTGTCCGACAGTATGTATGCTATGTGATTGTATGGTATGTGGTACGTTGGGGGAACTCGCTAAGCTTAGTGCTTAGGGTTTACAGTTTTGGTTTCAGGTACCTCTTTAGCAAAGAGGAAGGAGCTGGCGCGGTAGTTGCACATCATACTCACTCTCGTTACCTTCCGCATTATGAGATATTCTGAGATTGTACTTTGACATGTTATTATTTTCAATATTTGGGTTTTCAGACATGATACGTTGTTTATGAGATGACATGATTTCACATTGTTACTTACAAACGTTTTGCAAATCTGTTAATTAAAAATGAAATTTTTAGACATGAAATTTTGGGATGTTACAAGTTGGTATCAGAGCCCTGGTTTGAGGGATTCAAACAAACTGAGGGACTAAAATATTTTTACAAAGAAAATGGTTTTCTAAAAGCTAAGTTAAAAGTTTTAAGAACAAGGTGTGTGATGTGCGCGACCGGCCGAGCTCAAGTAAGTATTCCCCAAAGTACTCATACAAGTTTATGTTATGTTTATTAGTTGCAGTAGAACAACATGCTAGAATAGGACTAATGATCTAGGAAGGATGCCTTCTGCGCCTGCTTTATGTGTTTCAGCTTATGACAATTGCATGCGAGTATTGAGTAGACAGTAGTAGGATAGCCTGTTTAGGTTACGTCTGATAGTATGAGCTTAGAATTGTATGCTAGTACAGTTTCCTGTTATAAGAATAGAATTACTTGAGATCGTTCCCTTTTGTCTAAATGTTGCTTGCTTTGTGCTTTGTGAGACTATGATTGATGGGAGTTAGCTATTAGGTGAATACGTTAAAGTCATATGTGATCAAGTTTGAATAATCTTAGAGGATTGGATTTGACCCTATTTCGCAGCTCTTGTTTGAGTCCTAACCGTTGTAGGGATGAGACCCTTGCTCGAAGGGTTATTCGGGCCTCATTGCATGAGATTGTATTCAGGTAATGGATAATTGGCATTATAAAGAGGCCTTCAGCAGCTAAGGACTGATTTGGGTGGAGTCAAAGGTGCCGTAGGTCAAGCCTACGATGAGAATAGAAGAGATTAGTAATAGTAGAAGGGACTTGGTGGAGTCGAGGTAATTCTTGAGGAAAGTACGGATAGATGTGGAAGGTCATATGGGCCCGTACTACTGAAAGCAGAGGATTCGTACTTGAATCGAGGAAGGGTGAGACAAGACCAGGAAACTTGTGATATATGTGATCCCTCTAGATGAATCAGTATCACTCACTTTTGTCACTATGTATTGCGAGAATGGTGGTGCTACGTCCGAGGCCAGCAGTTGTTAGTTCACGGTAACACCCGGAATCCGGAAGACCAAGAAAGGAAAGAAAAACCCTAAGTAAAAGGGGTCAAATCTTCGATTCCATGGGATAACTCGACAAGTCGGAGCGAGTTCCACGTCGAGATTAAGTGACCGACTCAGCGAGTCGGAGGGACTGACTCGACGAGTCCGGTCTGGATTAGGAAACTCTAATTTCAGGTTCCAGCACCCTATTTAAAGAACATTTGATGCCTCCAACCCAACCTCCATCACCCTCCTGACGTACTCTCGAAACCCTAAGCCTCCATTGAAGTATCCTTTCCATATTTGAGTGATTTAAAGCTAGGAGGAAGAAAGGAACCTTGGTGATTCAAGAATTGGTAGTAGATCCAGAGTTAGTGTGCTATTTCAGACCATTGGAAGGTATGAAGCTCATACCTTGACCATTTTGCATGTAGATCCTCTCCTTAGTTTGTATTTTGTCACTTTTGGGCCATTTCCAAGGCCAATCCAAGTATTGTGACTTTGAGGACGAAGAAGACTTCAGATCTAAGTACTTTTGGGTTATAGAAGCTCAGAGTTGTTAGCTTTTTCCATCCATGTGATGAATCAATGAATCGAGTATGAAGTGAATCAGAGTTGATATGAAAGATAGAATTAGTAATTAAACACAAGATGTAAATAAGATTTCACTTCAGCTCAATTATGCTTTGTGTGTTTACAGAGAAAAATAGACAAGCCTATTTAAGTTGTCTAACTCTAGTAAATGATCCTATTTATAGGTTACATAAAGCGTAAAAAAATATACTAATGCATTAACTCTAAAGCTTCGAATAAAAGCACCCTAGTAAAATAGATTACAATTCATTCGAAGAATACAAAGTATGCTTCGACTAATTATAGCAAAAAAACCCTAACAATCTCCCCCTTTTACTTTAATTCGTAAGCAATTGAATGGAATACAACATCACTCTTTGTATATTAGTGTACCATGAGATAATCTTCTTAAGTTCCTTTTTATCTCCTTCATTATTCTTCTTACAATGATTCATACAAACGATTAAGTTCGTATATTGAGAAGTTGAGTACCTTTCCACCTCACCAGCCTGGAACAAAAATCTTTTTGATTTTCCAGACTTGTCCTTCCCTGAGAAGACTAATCCAAAAGGCTTCAAGCAAATTTCACCATCAGCATACTTCTTTAAATCTACTAGAGTCTTCGAAGGAGCCATAGGAGCTGTAATTTCCAATCCTTTAGTTGTAGCTAACTCCACATCAGTTAATGCTAAGCATTCATAATAATTTTCAATAAAGATCTTGATGTGAGTAAGTCCAAGCTTGAATTTATCTGGATCAGTATTCTGAAGATAAGAGAAAGATCTTTCCTTCAGCAATAATGCAACTTGTATAAGATCATACAAGTTCATTAAAGGAAAATCAGCAATTGTAAAATCACAAACATTCCCATTCGCCCTGGCCACCACATACTTCATATTTTGGACTGTATTTTCAAAAACAACATCCTTATTTATGCTGATTACTTTCTTTATTTTTACCAATGACCACACCCATTCAGCTGGTTTCGCAAGAACTGCATGAAACCTGATTTTCATATAAGTTCCTTCATCCTTCTCTTTGAATTTTCTTTCGGCTTTGAACTGGGGCATGATGAACATCATCTCATTGATTGGAAAGTCCAATTGGCTTGCATCAGTATTCATGACAATGTAGCTCTGTTTTGGCTTCTTTTCGAAGGAATACATGTGATTAAATGCAACCTTGGCTTCAATTGTTTCATAGTTGTAATGCTTTGATGGATCACCTTTGTTCATACCTGAAGGATCATTTGCTCTTTGAGTCAGTATACTCTGTACTAATCTCATCCTCTCTAGTTCAGCCTTAACCTCAGCCTTCTTTCTTCCTTTGACTTTTCTATCAAAATAGATTTTCCTCTTGCCTTCGAAGCTGAGTCTTCTATTACTTCTTTAACTTTTGAATCACTCCCACCAACATCAGTAGATTTACCAATTCACAATTCCTTTCGAAATTGGTCTTGTAATTGGCACAATGGTTAAAAATGTCGAAGAAATTGGACCAGCAGATGCTATAAGTGGTTTTATAGTTGGAATCTTCGAAGGAAACACCTTTCCTACCACCTTCGCATCATCACCTCCAGCCTTCGAAACTTCACCCTTCTTTTCTCCCCCTAGCACCCCTGTAAAAACAGGCGGGGCATTTGTTGTTGGAAGAAGGCTGGATATACGGGAAATAGGAGCCAACTGTTGGAGAAGTAGAGCTTCGAATTGAGAAAATTTCTGGAAGAGATCATCCGAAGATAGTTGAGAAGATGAAGCTAGTTTTGATGATAAGGCTTTGAGCTCCTTTAAGAATGTGAGGACTTCCATAAAATTTTTGTTTCAGCTGTAGAAAGTTGAGCTATTTGAGGACTCAAACTTTCATACAACTTAGCAAAATTTGTCACAACATCACAAATTATGTCCACCTTCTGATTTAGAGATGCAAATTCTGTGCTAAAAACTGCAATCTCTTTTTCCATGTCTTGGAGAAGCTCTTGAAGTTTAAAATTAACATCCTCTTGCACCTTCTTAATGTCTTGAATGAACAATACATGATGTTCCTTTTTTTGCCATTCTCAACTCTTTCAAATCACCTTCAAATGCAGACTTCTGAGAATTCACCCTTATCTCATTGTTATGATCACAAATATCAACTTTCTCCAAAAGATGAGACTCAGAATCTTTGATCATGCCTGAAACTTTTGAGGTGATCCTTCCTTCTAACACTTTTCACAAACCATCAACTTCTAAACTTGTTATAGAATTACCTCCCCCAAGATCTGCTTGTGATTGAAGAATTGAATTCAGCTTTGTATTCGAGATCTTGAACTACTTCATTAAGCATGTGATCTGGGAAATCAGTTTTTTTTTCATCAAACGCCAAGTTCTCAAAAGTTCCTCCAAAACCTTCCGATTCATGCTCAGTTTCCATAAAAATAGACTCTTGAATTGGTGAAGTGGTTGTGGGTGGATCAGTGGATTGTGAAGAAAAAAGAGAACTAATTGGTTGTTTGATAATGTTTTCGAAAGTAGGAGAATCAGTGGTGGAAGTAGTGGGTATGACAAGTGTAATTTGTGGAGGAAAAGATACGAAGGTTTCTGAGGTAACAGTCAAAGATTTACCTTGGTTTTCT